TCTTTAACTGCTGCGTAAATGTTCGTGAGAGTGGGATTTTACAATTAGGTAGATGTATGTATCGTAAGAATCGTCAAAATATGTGCAAGCTGACAATCGGTATTTGTTAGTTTTACAATAACGTATATGCGCGCTTTGAAAAAGCATAAAATCTTGGTTATAAATATATTCCCATTAGAATCGTTTAATGGCACGATCGAGCTTAAATTTAAAAATCCTCTTGTTTTATCTTTTTAATATATTCGTTTCTACATTATCGCCCAGAATCAGTTTTTCATCTGCTTCTACAATGTTTTCTCATCTTCCGTCTCTCCGTCTCTTTTTCTTTATATTTTCTTTTTTGTTATCACAACAGTGTTTAATTATGTTTATAAATACGTTTATTCCAAAAAGACTGCAGTTAATTAAATTCTCTACTTTCAAATCTTTGTTCGAAAGGAAGCCATTGAAAAAAAAAAAAGGAAAAAATTTACTGAAACTCCTAGGAATTCAAATAGTAATTACTGCAAAATTAACGATAATTTAAGTGACTATTCTAAATTAATCGGTTACTTAGTTTCGCAAGCTATATTTGTGTTTTCTTTCTCTTTTCACAGACACTGTCCCCATCCCTTTTTCTACCGGCACCCCCATCCTCCGTGCATACATACACGCGCACACATATGCATCTTTTCCTCTCCTCTCTCCCTCCTCTCCCCTCTCTCTCTAAAATCATCTTTTATATTAATACGCGCATATATGGGCCTCCGTTTATCGAAGTGCCGTGTCATATGCACCGCATTCGCGCGATTATTTTAAACACATACACGCCTCACACACGCATCTTTCACGCACACATATAAGCGAGCACATACTTTAGACCACTTTACTCTGGAACCTCTCTCTATTCTGGAATTTGTTCCTCTCCTGTAAACTGGAATATATATATATAAAATATTATATAATATATATAATAAATCTATTTATTATTACATGTATAATATATATATAATTACATATAGTATATAATATTATATAATCCCTCTTTCGCATTTTTTTACGAGCGTAATAACTCTGCCGCGTTACGTAGAATGAGAGAAACGAAACATGCGAGATGATACAAACATCGACGGCGTTCCGTCATATAAGAGTATTGGAAGCGGTTTTCCAGAATAGAGGAATACAGCTCGGTCCGAACGATTTCAGAGTAGAGGAGTGCTAAAGTATCTCTGTCCTCATCATTTTACTCAAACATTTTCTCGTTCTTTCTCTCATTTCCGTTCTCTCTCTCTCTCTCTCCCCCCTTCTTTCTAAAACTCAAACATATACATACATACATAGATACATACATGCATGCACGCAATACACAAATACATAAACATGTACGCACGCATGCACGCTTCCTCGCTGTTTCTCTCCATCTCGCTTTCACGCTCTCTTTCTTTCTGTTATTCTTCCCTCTCAATCAGCGGCTTTATCACACGTATATTATTTTTTTCTCTTCTAGCAATGTCTTTCTTCAGTTCTAGTTTCTGCCTGTGCTTCTAAAGTCGAGACTTCTTACGGCCTTACAGCCGCAAACGTATATTTGCGCCACCGTAGCCGCAGCACGAAAATCGAATAAGATTCAAATGGAAGTGTGTTATCTACAAAATATCTTAATTACTCGCTAATTACAGCACAAAACATGCAAATATAAAAATTTGCATTATATTATCGTTTAATATTTATATATATCATCATTCGATATATCATTCCACATCGCACCATTAAGGTTCGCCGACATGATTCTTGGTATATATATTATTATGCAGCTGACCGTTGTCTCTTGAAAGTCCATTTTCTTTTTTTTATTACTGCGTATGCATTGTGTGTGTGTGTGTGTGTGTGTGTGTGTGTGTGTGTGTGTGTGTGTGTATTATGTCCACGCTTGCAGTTGCACACGCGCGCATGTATATCTGTGTGTATGTGTCTGTGTTTGTTTAGTTTGTGTTGTGTGCATATACTCAGTGGATATGGGATGTGTGCATGTCGATCCGTGTTTTTTCTATATATGTATATTTGTGTGTGTGTGTGTGTGTGTGTGTGTGTGTGTGTGTGTGTGTGTGTGTGTGTGTGCTTTTTTTCTTTCATTAACTATGAAATATCTTACACTATCGATATTAATCCAATTCATCGAAGGGGAAGGTATACCGGCAGGCGGATATCGCATCGGGTATACCTACACGCTAACACCAATAATTAAACTTTCTTACTTCCTGTTTAATCGATATAAAACTACAACTGCGCTGCCATGGCTTTTAATCAGCACTTTTGTTCCTTCACTCTATCACGTGCGCGAGTCTTTCTCGCCTCGTCACTCTTCCTCGTCTCTTTCCATCATATATATCCGTCTATCTCCCGCTTTCCCCACAACGTCCGCCTTTTAACGCACTACAACCGTCCATACACAACGTCGTACCATCACAACATCGTCGCCGTCGCGTGCGTCTATTCGTCGTTGTCACCATCGGCACCGTTAATAATAATCCGCGCGAATCGCGTACTAGTGTTCCGACCGACGACAGAGAGTTACGTGCCCCTCGAACACTGGAATAACACGCGCGCGACTATCGCAGCGACCTGCTGATCCAGAATCTGGCTCATCACCAAGGCGAGCAGACGGGACTCGTGTTGCAGAAGGAGAGTTCGATTATCCGGATGCCTGGCGAGGTTGAGCAGCGTGCCGGCCGCACGTCGCAACATATCCAGGCTGGTGCCCATCGATTCGGGATTGTCGCGCAGAGCCGCAAGACCGTGCTGATTAGCGACACCGATTGCACTTGATTCGGCCTGCTCGATGAATGCAACGAGCAGCGCAACGCACGGCGTCTGCAGGGCGATGGTGCGCGCGACGCCGCTGTCCGCGGCCGACAAGAAGTGCAGTAGATTCACTCCGAACTCACGCAGCACCTGTTCTTCGCTGCGGCAGAGGAGCCTAGTCAACACCGAGCATAGTCTCTGTAATCGTGAATACGGCGGCGTCGCCACTACCAAATCAACGTTGCACTCGGTAACGCATAATTTGCACAATGCTTCAAGCGCGAGTCTCTGCGGCGACAACGAGGAATTCGGACCGACCGTTGGGAAAGGATCCTGACCATGCGCAGCCGGGCATACGGCCCAGTGAAGAAGGCCGTCAAGCACTGGTCGCGAGATCTCCTCCGGATGCTGGCTCAGATCCATGTGGCCGGATATGTTGGCGGCCATCACGAGGACGTTCTCCCTCACATGATGCAGGAAGTCCCACCACCACTCGCCCTCGCCTTGTAGACTGCTACACGAGTCCGCAAAATCCGCGTCTTCTTCACGATCGTAATTGCGAGTCTTTTGCGCCCGTATCGGGTGTTCGTGATGCAACAGCAATAACTTGCCTAATAGACTGAGGAACGTAACGTTCTTCGCGAATTCCGCTTCATTGCCGGGGATAAAAGTGAGATTCCTCAAGATTGTTGACAGGCACACGCAACGACGGGCCAGGTTGTCCTGCGTTTCCGTCACCAGGTAAAGACTCGCTTCGTCCCTGGAGTAGCTCTCATCCTCGTAATCACTTATCCTCCGTCGTTTTAACGTTCCTGCCGGATCTCTTATTTGTAATCTTGGTCCCTCCCTGTCGTCTCTCGTCATTAGCAATTCATGTTCGTCTGTCGTTTCTATCTTGATCTCAGCTTTATCTATGGTGTTATCAATGTTGCCTGAAACCGTCGCTACTGATTCATTCAGTCCATTTTGCGTCGGCAACGAGTCCTCGTCGTTCTTCGACATATCACTGCCAAAGTGCTCACCCATATTGTTGTTTGCTTTCGTCATTTCGCTGTCGCAATCCTTTTTAAAGCCGTCGTTCTTCTTCTCGAACAGTTCCCTTGTGAGATCGTTCATCTCTACTGGCTCCTTCTTGATCCTCGACAGCACGTCACTCAAAGTTTTCGTCTTCTTTTTCTTGTCCAACTGTTGCTGCTGCTTGCGTTCGCCACTGTCTTTGTTAGATTGCTTGTCGCCAAGCTCACCGGATTTGTGAGTGAAGTCTAACGTCTCATGGACACCACCGACACTGTCCGCTTTGGCTTCGTCTTTCAAATCTGTACTATCAACTTCCTTCTGCAACAATGGCGGTTTCTCGTCCCTTAATAAACGGGCGAAAGGCACCGAGCTCACCTCAGACTGAAAACACGTGACGATGTATTTAGTCGCGTTCGTGTCGACTTGCCACGGCTCGGTTTCCGACTCGCACTCCTGATGATCCCAAGGCCTCCGGGTGTCCAAAACAAACAGATCATCATCTCGAGGGACGATCTTAACGGGGCGACCTCTCCTCGAGAGATACGTATAATTCGATGTCGACAGCAATTTCGTCCGATCTTCCGAATCGATCGGGCGCGTTACCGCACCGAGGTCTACCTCCGGACCATCTGCGGCCTGGCAATAGCGATCGTCATCGTTTACACATGATTCGAACATGTCGGAGAGAGAACGCGAGAAGTGTTC